CCCTCGGCAGGAGCACCGCCACGCTCCCAAGTGGCGCACTGTAGCAGTGCGCCACCGGGCCACCCCCAGATGGTTTTCAACTAATGTTTCATATACAATAAGGCCAGCTCTATACAACATTAAATATACCAGGTATGTGTTGTTTTCTTAACTATCTTGCACCATTCTATTAAAGCCAATTAAACCTAATACCCTGGTCCGTCAAAAATAAAGAATGTCCAGAAGAATACAGGCAAATAGTTATTTGCAAGACTTTAAAAAGACGGTCACAGAAAAGAGAGAGTACAATTATCTCAATAAATCCACTTTTTCCATAGAGAATAAAGGTCAAGAAAAAAAGTGGCTGCAGTATTGATCTGTGTTAGTTATAGGATGGTTAAAATAATCAAATAAAGCAAACAAAACAAAACAAAAAAAGAAAGAAAGACACAACGACCACAATAACTCCTGGAACTCTCAAAGGAAGAGAATGGAACTGAGGATACCAGAGGTGGGAAAGGGGGAGGGAGGGGAGTTAGGGAGATATTGGTAAAGGGCCACAGAAAATGTTTACATTGGGTAATGATATTTAAAAAACCCAAAATAATCAAATATGTTCTGATTCTGGGCATTAATTTTTTTGAAGATAAGCCAGCCAAAGTTGGCCCATCTCACTATTTGCTATTTTCCAGAAATCAATTCTGTTGAAGGTATCAGACCTGTTCACTTTTGTAAGTTTTTTAACTCTCAAATAGGCCACAAAAACACACACATACACACACAAAAAATAAAACAAAAAACCAGCCAGACAGTGTGAAAGTCGGAAGGCGATGTTACAAGTGTCTTTCACTAGCAATGAAAGGCAGAACAATTCTGCTGAAGCGCTCTTCCAGCAAGCGCGCATTTCTTGGCTGCAGTTGGCTATTTCTGCATTCTTCTCGTTCATCCCCCAAATGCTAAATGTCATCTTCTGAAGCTAAGCTTTTTCTCCAGCTGCATATGTGTAAATTGGACAACTCTCCTTGCAACAGTTGACATTTTGGCTGTTCTACTGACACGAAATCCCAACTATGAAAACATTAGCCTCCACTCTCCAAGATCATGTGTTGCCAGAGGCATTACATTTCCAAACTCAAGGCAGCACTGGTCCCTTATTGTTTTCAGTTGGAGCAAACTTGCCAGAAACAGAATCTGTTCCACATATAAAACAGAATGACCTACTTTCCTGTGCCTCTGTTTTTATCTTCACAAAACTGTACTACCAGCATTCCTGACAGCTGTCTCCTGGCTATGGATCTTGTAAAGTATCCACCTTCTTAAGAAAAATGACTTGGCAGTAGATTAATAGAAGTTTGCAGTTTAGTCACCCAGAAAGAAATAAAAGTTAAGTAAAATTAAAATAGTTTGGGATTAAAAGCGGTACCTTTGAACTCAGGCAGCCCTTGTCTAAGCTGCTAGTTTCTATCAATTAAGTTCCTTAAGCAAGTGCTTTCTTCCACCCAGAGCTTTCAAAGAATGTTCTGCTCTACAAAACTTTTATGTCTTTCATGTGCAAACTTCCTTCTGAGTGAAGGGTGCAATCAAGTTGTTATTGTTGTTTTAAAATTTTGATAGGAACACAGAAGGAAGTCACTAGATTAATTTCTGTATTTTTAAAAAAGAATTGATCAGTTGCTGGTTGATGGTATAAACCTAAAACTGCACCCAGTGGCTTGCTGTTTCTGAACCCACAATTTCCAGTCTTGAAGCTTCTTTGGTCCTTCATGCCCCGCAGGCACAATGTGTAATAATTACAACTTCTGAAAAATGCC